AGAACTGTTGATGAAAACTAAGATGCAGGATGCGAGTGCTGTAGCTACACCCATGCTGGTTACATCGAAGCTTGCAGAGGATGCTGGTGAGTTGTTGTCTGATGCATATGAATATCTTAGTGTGGTAGGTACATTATTGTATGCTTGCCATACGCGCCCGGATATTTAGTTTAGCGTAAATAGGGTGGCACAGTATATGCATGAGCCTAGACATGAACACTTTGTGGCTGTTAAGCGAATTTTAAGGTACTTGATCGGTACACTTAATCATGGACTCGTTATAGCACCAGCGGTTGCAGGGCTTCATGTTGTAGCCTTTGCGGATGCAAATTGGGGTGGCAATACCGAAGATAGAAAGTTCATCACAGGCAATTGTATCTTTGTTGGCGATAATTTAGTTATGTGGAGTTCCAAGAAGCAAAAATCTGTGTCTCGATCCACCATGGAGGCTGAGTATAGGAGTGTTGCTGATGCTACTGCTGAGACAACATGGGTGAGTACACTGCTTGCAGACATGGGGGTTCAACAGCTGAAGGCTCCTGTGGTGTGGTGTGACAATAACAGTGTTATTTCCATAACAACAAATCCAGTTTATCATGCCAAGACAAAGCACGTGGAACTTGATGTTCACTTTGTAAGAGAAAAGTTTGCAGCTAAGCATGTAATGGTAAACTATGTGCCTGCTAGTCATCAAGTAGCCGATGGTCTCACCAAGCCTTTGCCAACAGCACAGTTTGAGGTGTTTCGCGCAAAGCTTAATGTTCAGTCGTTTCTTGGGGGAGAAGAAAAAAGTAGGGGGAATGTTAGGCATAGCTGAGCTGCTCAAGTAGTTGTAACTGAAGTGATTCTTAGTACTGTTAGTAGTTAAGGTTGGTAATGCTGTTAGGCAGTTTCTTGATTCTGTTAGCTTTGTTAGTAGCAGTTAGTGTAGTCCATCATGCTGTATATAACAACATACAAGGCCATGTAAAAAAATGAAAGTTTTTCACATATTGATTGCAATTCATGAAGTTTTATAATATTACAACAATCAGCAAACAAAATCAAACATGTTTGGGGGATTGAACAAGGAATCAAAATGATGAAGTACAGTACTCACGATTGTCTGGAAAGATGGTGGTGTGGGGTTTCTAGCCGGTGAGCTTGTTTTGGACCCAGCTGATTATCTCCAAACAAAAACAAGACAACATATAAGTAAGTTTAACCAAAAGAAATCGAGTGTCTTGATTCGTTTATCTAATCTGGTCTATGTTCTCACCTTCATTTGAGAAATGGTGTGACATTGAAAGCTTAGCTTATCTACAATGGAGAGTAGAGTGGGAGAGATTCCATTGTTGGCCTCCTCTAGCGAAAGTTCAACCTTGCCATCCATCACCCATAACCCTCCAAACGTAGCCACCCCGTGTTGGACCTTGCCTCTTTCGTGATTTCTTATCTATGACTATTGGTAAACGAAAGAAAGAAATACACGCTGGTGCAGAACGCCACGACACAGAGCAACAAGTTTTGGCAAACCTCGGTTTTGCATCGACCGTAAGTAGAAGCTTGGGCAGAATGGTGGTTCCTTTGAAGGTCTTTCTTACGATCTTTTGTTTCTTGGTTGCCTAAATATTGAATGTAACAATGGATATTCTGACACAATTTGTGGCTCTTCCCGGACCGTCTCTCCAGATTCCGTCTCCATGTTCTTCAAGAGAGGTTGAAGATGAGAGATGAAATGAAATGCAGAAAGAGACAAGTGTAATGGGAAAATTTAGGCTTACTCCTTGGATTATTTATAATTTCAAAATTAATCTCAAATTGCACAGTTTAAGATATATATATGACTCGTGTTAGAATTATTTCAAAGCCTCATGTTGCCTTAGTGGTTATGTGTAAGCAGTAGATTCCAAGGGGTCTTATTCGATATCCTAATGATAAAGTTTAATTGTATTTTTTATTTAACAAAATACTACTGTTTTGATTCGTTTGGAGTATCAATGTAACATCCCAAACTAGGGGTTAGTGACTAAATTGTAAAGTTTAAGAATTTGGTGATTAAAGTAGAAGAATGGATTAGTTCAATGATTTATCTGGAAATAAATCATAAAAGATATTAGTAATTATAAAAGGTATTAAAGGGCAAAAGGGGTCATTTGACCAAGAGATGTATTAAATAATGATATATATATAGGGATAAGGATGAGAGATTTTCCAGAAATCTCTTCTCTCTTTTCTTCTTCATTTTCTTTTTCCTCCCGTGAAAGCTCCAAGGCAAAGGTAAGATTCCTTGTTAGCTGATGATTTGTTGATTTTAAGAGTGGGTTTTGATCCTTAGGTAATACTTAAGATTATGGAAAGCTTAGGTTGTCCTAAAATCAAAAGATAAAGGAGATAGAGAAGATTAAAGATTAGTGGTTCTTGAATGAAATCTTGAAATAGAGTTTATAATAAGAATTGAAAGTTGGATTTGACTTGTCATCAATCTAAGTAAGAGATATGAAGTGATATAATTGGATTTGAAACATGTTGCAAAATTGATGTAATTATTGAATTACATATGGATGATAGGATTTGAAGGTTTAAGATGAAATAAATGAGTATAAATAGGTTTAAGGATGTGTACTAGAGTTAAGAATGAAAAAGGGGATGAAACATGAAGGATTTAATCCAAAATGAATGATTTTCGGGTTCAAAAAGAGGATTCTGGGCAGAGTGCATCGATGCATATTCATTGTGCATCGATGCATCAAGGTTAAAACCCAGAATTTTGTTTGAAGGTGTATCGATGCATAGGTAGTGCATCGATGCACTCTTTTAAATAGAAAACATCGAATAGGATTTATGCATCGATGCATAATTCGTGCATCGATGCATCCCCATTAAATAAAAACATCGAATGTAATTCGTGCATCGATGCATAAGTAGTGCATCGATGCATAAGTAGTGCATCGATGCATCCCGTTATTAATGAAACATCGAATGCATTTTATGCATCGATGCACAAGTAGTGCATCGATGCATACCTTCATTAAAAGAGGAAATTGGCTTTTCTCTTAGCCTAAGAAGTGACAGTTTAGAATATATCAATTGGAATATTGATATGAATCTGTGTATTGTTATGTAGAGATAGAACGTGATCCGTTTCAGGACAATTGAGGAATTAGAATCGAATCAAAGCAAAGCTAAGGTGAGTGCAATTTATTTTGTACTTATTTTATTGAATTAACATTGGCTTGTGATGAGCCAGTGATGGAGTTACTATGGTAAGAAGAAACTTCTAAATTGTTATGTGATTACCATGTATGCATTAATACATAGAAATAGATGGATGCTATGTTATATGATTTATATGCTTAAGTGAAAATGCAACATATGATATATGTTATTTGACATGACATGCATGGTTACATGAAAGAAAGCTATGTGACTACATGTATATGTGAAAGAAGCTATAAGCTTATATGCACATGTGATATATGTGATATGAACTGCATGAAATGATTTACGTGAATACATGTATATATAATACATGTGATATGATATGAGATATATGGTTACACATACATGTGGTATGTGACAGAAGAGAAAAAACAAGTGATACGAAATGTATAAATAAATGCCCATAGTATATGATACGAGAGCTATAGGTATAGTTGGCATGCCAAGAGTCGAGGGTTTACCTATGTTGAAAGGAACATATGGATAGTTGCCGAGGATCTTTATGACCTCTGGATAGTTACCGGGGTTCTTTGTAACCTCTGGACAGGTCCTTCGGGACGAATACTGAACAAATGTTCGGTGCCCCATGAGGGAATTTATACGAGCTGTGGTGACAGCATTAGTGCACAACCTCAATGTACTCACATACCTCTATTCTCAATAATATACATGGGCAATGAAATTGAAAGACAAATGAAAGTGAAAGTGATACAAGAAGGTAAGTTGCATGTGTGCATGACCTGATTGTATATTGTTATCATACAATAGATTCATGCATATTGATATGTCATGATTCAATGATATGAATGCATATACATGAATTATAGGATGTTATGTGTGTTTCTGGGTATAGTGATATATGTGTTATATGATGAGTATATGGTAAGTGGAAAGGATTATTGATAGTGTTTGCATATGTATGTCTTTTATTTATATGAAATGATATATGGTTATATTATATGTTTTATATGCCTCACTAAGTCAACGACTTAGCGTGTGATTATTTCACACGTAGGTTACAGAAGTGAAAAGAGTAAAGAGCTAAGAGGAGTAAGACAGGTCAGTTCTCCTTACCCAATTGTCAGATCAGAAAATATATGTACGGTATATAGAGTGTAGTTGGCATGTAGTCTAAAGATATAAATTGTATGAACTCTGATATATTTTGTAAACGTTTTGAATAAGTTAAATGTTATCCAAGTTTTTGAATTACTCACTATTTTATACGAATAAAGGATTGAAAAGTCAATGTGACACGTCGGACTCGTATCCGGGTCGGGTACGGGTTGGGGGTGTTACAATCAAAACACTCACATCAAAACGACGTTATTTTGATATGACTATCACGTCGATAATCATAAATCACGTCACCGTAATATGTCGTTAGTGATTTAATGATAGAGTGACATAATTAAAGCTGAAATCAAAGTTTAATGTTATAATTAAAAAATTGAAAGTTTAAAAGTATAAAAGCGTCAACGAACAAAATTCAATGGTATTTAACGTAGTTTTTCCTATATTAATATAAGGGGAACATTTTAAATAACATAAAAAATTGTATAAAAAGTTTTTGATTCATTACCATCTCTAATTCTATGAAAAAAATTATAAATCCAAAAAGGTAAGATATTGTGAAATGGATTTCTTTTATGAATTAGTTAGTCAAGATCTTTTTCTTAAAATAATAATAATAGCAATACTACTTTCATCTACAGAAGTGCAAGGTTAATTTTTATCTTCATATAGAAATTATAATTACACAGTTTTGGGCTATCGAGAGATCTTGTCGAAAAAGAAAATCAATCTACAAACTTCGCCAGCTTTTGGCGATGGTGCTTATATAAAACTGTCATGGCGGTTGCCCCGAAGGGACAATTTGAACTAACGAAACCATTTACCAAGTGGAGATAAGTGCTGAGATCGTGACAAGTCACCACTCCTTCCTTGCAGAGATGCGGGCACTCTTTGCTGCTCAGTCTCAGCTCTTGTCCTACTTCTGCATAAATCAGCGCCGTCTGTCGCACGCGCTTTTCGACCCATCCCGGCAAAGCTTCCTTGTTTGCCTCTCCTATCTCATTCTCATTGTTGTCAATTATAAAGCCTGGTACTTTTGTGATCACGTCGTCCGAGTTTACTATTCGTAGAATCTTCGTCCCGCTTTTCTCTAGCTCACATCTGAAGCTTTGATTTCCGACACGTGGTCCGCCGAACGAGATGACCGTCACCATCGGCGCATTGTCGAAGGTGGATTTTATATCGTACGCTGCAAGCGTAGCGAGTGCAGCGCCGAGGCTGTGGCCGGTGATGGTGATGCTGAGGGGTTCATCGCCGTACAGTTGGAGTACTCTTTCCACCTCTTCCCTCACCATGTATCGCAAGCTAGGACACGTGTCACTATAGGAAGTGAAAAGGCTCAAAAACCCACTCTCAACCATGGGCACCGCCCCGCCGCCTTTAGGATCCACACTGGACACGTCATCATGCAGACAAGTGAGCGTGGCGCGTAAATTCTCGAACCACTCCAAGCAAGTGGTAGTGCCTCTGAAGGCAATGACCACGTCGCGGCGGCCTAGCCTGGCGATCTCATCCTTGTCATGGCAAACTGCCACGTAACCAATCCAACTGGACCGGGTGGAAAGCCAGGTTGGTCCCTTATCAATCCAAGTGGGCAGCTGAATCCCACAGGAGGCACGCAGGTGCTTGGTGGGTTTATAACCTGTATGTCCAATGCAAGATCGGGTGAGTATGGAGTTCTTGGGGAACTTAGAGGTGGCATAAGTGGGTGAAGAAGGGTCAAAATCGAAACAACGATACGTAGCTTCGACGAATCTCCCATATCTTAGAATCTCACTCCTTAGAATATCATCAAGAGGATCAAGCAAGCCTTGCCATTTATCTATTCCCTGATACTCCGTCCAGTTCTTGGCGAGTTTTGCTGAGTTGGGAAGTGAGGCATATTGTTTCAATGGAGCCCAGGAAAACTCAGGGGGTGGACTGGCGTTGACGGTGGAAGGAGTGGGTTTAGGGATAGAAGGTGTCGGAATGACAATGGAAGGAGTGAGTTTAGGGATAGAAGGTGTCGGAATGACGGTGGAAGGAGTGAGTTTCGGGATAGAAGGTGTCGGAATGATGGTGGAAGGAGTGAGTTTAGGGATAGAAGGTGTGCATGGCTTGACAGTAACACCAATTGCAGCAACCCTCATAATTTTGCTTTATTATGTAGGCATAGTTAGCGATGGAGGTGGAGAGATGGTTACATGACAATGGCCAAATGGAGGAAGAAAAACAATGGGGTTTTTATATACAAGGTGAGAGTGAGAGCGTGGACGGCGGTGCATGAGAAGTAGTATATGCACTGCTAAACCAAAAGCTTAATTATATGTAGGTGAGTTTTGGAAAAGTAAAATAAACAAAAGCTTAATTGTATTTGCAAATAACTAATCTAAGTTAAAAGTTCATCAAAACCACGATTTGACAAGAGTCAGCACGGAACAGTTATCTACCTAAGCTTGATAATGTTCCCCAAAGCATAACTAATTTTGTACTTAATTAGGGGAGTAGTAGTAATTCTGTTGGAATGATCTTGATTGGAGCCTAAGTAGGCCTGTGAGAAATGAACAAAAAGGACATCTTTTGAAAATAACTAGTTGGATATATTGTTCCAACCAAAGCATTCAAAATCTTTTTAATTGGTTTTATCCAAACATGGATCAAACTCTATTCTTAGCTTTATTCGCCCCCAATAATCCATAAAAACCATGTGATGAATTATATCATTCATAGGAAATGACGACCATCCATTATTCAACTTAATGGGATTTCAATCATTACCATATCCATTACAATGCACAAGTTATTTGATATATATATACTTAGGTATGTTTCTTACGATTAATGATTATAATTAGAATATATAATATTTTTTAATAGTATAAATATTACAAGATAGTACATGTTTAATTTTTTTAAAATTATTTGACAATGCACATTTATATTGCAAGCACATCCATTTAAACTTAAAACTTTTAAAAAGGATAATATTCTGCCTTACCCTTATATATTCACAATATATAATAATTATTTATGCTTTTTGCCAACAAAAGACATTGACCAATCGACTTCTTTGTCAAATTAGACTACCAACGCTATGTAATGAGCAAAAGAAATGATGCAGTGGGCTGTGGATGGATTAATTCAATGTATAAATTTTCTGGCCTGGATGTTAATCCAAATACTGTCTAAGATGGGATAGCAACCATTAAAAGAGGATTATTTTTATTATATATTTGCATATATTAATTTAAAGGAAATAACGAAAGATGCTACAACTAAAGACTAGGAACCACAGAAAATCAGTTGTTTATACCTTAGATTATACACAAACCTTCATTTACATGATCAGTTCTATTTATGAATTTTTCATGAAATTTAACTCTAACCACTTCACGAATAGAATCAAGGACACAATATCCGATCTAGCTTTATTTATATATATAAAAAAAAGTATTATTCCTTTTCACTCACACCATGTATAAAAAAACCACTCCATGTTAACTTTAAGAAGAGAGCAAGTAGGGACTTATCCTTCAAGCGTGTAACAGCCCGATCAACTTCTTACTCCCACGACTCATTCACACGAGAAAGGCACGACTCATTCACACGAGAAAGGCTTCAAGACGTAGACACTTTTCCAAACATCCATCGAAAAAGAACATTCAAAGAAAAGATGCTCTTTAGATTCGGTCGTATTAACACATAAAACAGAAAAACTATCTACATTAATCCTCGTCCGGATGAGACTATCCTTAATTGATAATCTTTCTAAAACAACAATCCAAGTTATAGAACCAAATTAAATTCTACCATGCCATCTAATCCTTCTTAGGCCTAAACTCCTCCCAAAATATTTGTGTTAAACATCCTTTCATCGGGAGCAGTAGTAAAGAGATCCTCCTTTCCAACATCAAACTATTTTTTAATAAATTATTTTTTTATCGCATTTAGCTATACATTTTTTCATATAAATCAAATTATGTAGACTTGTTTTATAAGCATGCAAAATATGCGGAGTTTCAGCCGAAGCAGTGGTGGGTCCTCTACTTAATAATTAGTGGGTTTTATTATTATTATTATTATTATTATGAATATAGAGTGATTATAAAATAATACATATTTTAAAGATTCTCAACTAATAATGAAAATTCAACTTTTTTAGTCTCTTGTACTCGAATCTAGGATCTTTATAAATAATAATCATCTCTTTAACCATTAAAGTAGTTTGATTCGTGCATAATTCGTAGGTCTTGTTATTCTATCCCAACTCTAAATCCTACGACCTTTCTCAAATAACTAAATAACTCTAAAATTTATATCCTATACTAAAATATCATTTTATTGTTATGAATGTTTGGATCAATTATAATGCATGTAAGATATTGTATTGAGGGAAAGTATTCATTAAAACTAAATTTATCTTTATCGTCCAATGAAGAATATATTAATATTTTAAACAGATACTACCTTATATTTATCCCATATCAATAAAAAATATTGATATAAATTTATTCATGTTTTAATAACCTCCTTTGAGAGAAAATAAAAACAGTAGGTGTGAAACCGGAAACTTTGTTGTTAGGAATAATAGCCCAAAGCACATTTTGAAAGTTGGCCCAAACAAGTGTTAAAGACATGGGAAAAACCAGCTTTCAAAGGGTGAGTGATTAGTCCAAAGAGAAAGACAATGCCAACTGGTTTGCCCTTTCCAGCTCACTAAACATCCTGAATTTGATCTTCACCAAACATTCATTGACGTTTGAACTTAAGAATGTGGTGCACCATTTTCAACTTATTCTTTTTCTGATTTCTCTCATTCCAAGAGTCAGCCTATTTCATTTGCTGTGTTCCTGTTCCAGGGAAATCATAAATGGTCAAAAAGATGCCACCGCACAACTTCTAATTAGAATCTAAATCATTGAAAATATTTCAGATAAAAACCTATAATCACCTGCTTAATTAACATCCCAATTACCTGGAATTCCCTATATAAAAGTTATTACATATACGGAATTTGGTAAAAACACATATCCTTTTGCGGTGTGACAACAAAGGGGCACATGAAGGACAATAATTTCCGATATCTCAACAAACTAAGTCTGGGGTTTTTGCAGCTTCACGAGCCCCATTACATCGCTGCTTGCCCAGCATTTTAATCAATGTTCCCGACCAACCTTACTTATTCCACACGGTTTGAACATTTTGCTTTGTTTGAACCATTAGTTATGACATAATATAATATATCTCTTTGATATAGGATGATAAATCATCCATCTTAATATTCTCAATAAATTATTAAATATATATAAGGACCAACACAAAAAAAAATTGAGTGTAAACTTTTAAAGATGTATATTAAAAAATTTTATAGATGTAAAATTAAATTATCAATATAAAAAATATTTGAATCATATAAGATTTTAAAATTTTAAGTGACATAATCATTTTTATACCTTTAATCCATCCATGGATATATATGTATGATTAAAATTAGACATGCATCAAGTGTGAGGCCAATGATGGACCGAGGGTAGATGAGAACATTCGTCTCTCCTGAAATTTTCAAATTTTCTTATATTTTAGATTTTTATTTGTGTATTGTTTTTATTAATAATATGCTTTTGTCAATTTAAATTTTATAAACTCGTTCTCCTGTAAAATTTTATAAATTCATCTATAACATTAAATTTTTATTTGCACTTGTGCGAGAAAAAACCCTAGGAGCAACTTTTACATCTTATTTAAGAAAAAAAATTATTAATGAAGGTTTTCTATAATAATTGAAAAGGAATAGAAGAACTTGATTACACCAATTATATAGAAAATACCACCGCCAATAGGAAAAATCGGTGCATGCATTACAAGTCAAGATACCATTGCAGCAGTATAAATTGCATTAAATTAGTGCCTTGGATAACTATATATATATATATATAATTAGGGTTTGATTGTTAAGTAAAACTTTGGACCAAATTTCATTTGCAGAGAAAAACCACTCTTATTTTTGTTTTGAAATTTTCCGGACGACAAACAATATTTTTTGTGTTTTCAACCATAGAGGTGAATTAAATAGTCTTACATCTTATTCTTCACTGATGTTGTGGGCATGAGAAACATGCTGCTCTTTCTTAATTGGACAGTAAATTAAGGGGGGAATTGAATCTTTATGAAGTAGAATTCAATTATGTCAAACAAGGTCGATAATGAAAGTCAGAAATTACTATAATGAAAGGATAGCTTATTGACACATTTTCAAACTTAAAAGTTGTTTTCTACTAACTAGGAAGATATTAAATACCATATTCACTTGTTAACATTAATTGTTGCTTTTCATTTTCCAACTGCTAATCCCTTCATTGGGATGAACAATTAGCTAAGTTATATATGTTTTGCCGTAATTTAAAAAGCTGGAATTAAACCCCATGTCCACTGGTCACTGTGGAAGCGGACACTTAGAGATTAAGATTTAAATTTTGATAGTTAGAATCGGATCAGATCCGTAAGTTTATTTAAAAATTGTTGGGATAAAATTAAAGATGGTATAAATAATTGAAAATTAACTTATTTATTTATTTATCATTGAAGTGATAATAAAATCAGTTGAATATGAAATCAGTGATATGATCAATTCAACGATCAAATTTACTGTTAAAATATTGATTTAAGCTATTATTAATCTTATCTAAATTCATAATCTAAAATATAAACTTGTAATAATAGTAATAAAATTTATGTTAAATAATAATGTATGAAGGCCTTCTTTTTTAACGTCGTTTTCTAAAGATATCTCTATCATGTTATGCTGTTGTGGGAAGATGATTTGATATCTCGAAAAACTCCAAGTTCCAAGTCCAAGTTTGGTGGCGCGTAATGTAGATTAAATCAGGGAGTACTAGTCTTTTAGAAATTTTAATTTCTTTTATGATTTCTTTTTATATTTTTATTAATCATCTAATTTCATATTCTTTAAAATCTAATTACGTTATATTTTTTTAGTATAATATTTTATATTTTTGAGCCAACATCGTAGGCATGCATGCTTTGGTTTTGTCAAAGCGGATGATATGTTGTCAGAGCCATTCACTTTCTGCTCACTGCTCTACCCTTTTAAGGAAACCAAATTTCCAAACATTCACCTATTATATTTTGG